ATCAGTCACCAATCGGTCACCAATCAGGTACCTGGTTGGTGACCGATTGGTGACTGATTGATGCCTGATTTTTCACTTTTCAACCTGTGTAAATTACCACTTTATTTGCAATTGAATAAGAAAATAATGAAATAACTACTTTTCTCTAAAATTATATTTAGAAGAAAATCTGATTGAAAAGTTAATAAAAATATTATCACTATTATTAAAATTTTAAGTCCTTTTATTTTTACAATTAATAAAATATTTGCTATTAATAAAAGTTTTACTATTGATAATATTACTAGTGTTTAAACCTATAATCTATTATTAATAAATTATAACTGATATCTGTTAATATCAGGTTTATAATTTTAAATTTAATTGACAAATTCTATTTAAATTCAAAAATTGATTATCAAATATAACTAATAAATAAATATTAGTTATTTTACAGCTAAATAGAATCATGCTTTTTTCATCATTATACTGATATTTTTTTTATTAAGATATAAATAAATTACTATTGCATAATTATTATTGATATTTTTTACGTTGTTTAATCAATAGTTTATTATATTTATACAATGATCATTAGTGGCTGCTGAATAATACAATTATTTGATAGGGATATTAAAATATTATCTAAACTGCTTCACAGTTCAGTGATATTCTAACCTCCTATTAAATAACTAATATATATCAGTTTGTAATGGATTATTAGATTATTAGTTTAGTTGAAAAGCTTTTTGCATTTTATATGATGTATTTAATTGATTAAAACTATTATTAACCTCTTAAATCCTGCTATTTAATCTTTATTAAATCATTAACTAATTATTATCAGTCTATTAACTAACCTAGTAAGAAACTGTGTCAAATTTTTCTTAGCAGGTGCCAATTCAAATTTATATTACCTTAATGGATCAACTTATTTACCTATTAAAAACTTGGATTTAAATATTAAATATTATTTTTATTAGTAAAATATTTAATATTTCTTATAAAATACTAATAAATAAAAGTAATACTAATGTTAAATTAAATTTTCAAAATGTGAAAAATCTAAATAAAATTTTCAATAATAAAGAGTAATTACTTCAGTGAAAATATATGAATAGTGTTAAAAAAGTAAAAAAGTACAAAAAATACCTAAAATTAAAGGCTTTTATAAATGTTATATTTGTAATAAAATAAGGTGCAATGCTACTTTTTACAAAAATATAGGTAATAAATAGAGAAAGAAAGAAGGAAATGATAAATAGCAATTGTAAATATATAAAATAAATTTAAAAATTTACTGAAAAAGTATAATATTATATTTATTTAAATAAAATTTTATAGAGTATTAAATATATTTTAAATTTTAGTTTTATAGAATACTAATACATTTGTTTTATTAATATTAGCCAATTAAAGTTAATAAATCATTTTATAATATCAATTAAAATTGAGATATAATTTTTTTCTTTTTTATAAAATTTATATATATTTATACATCCATCTTAGAGGATAGAGGTTAAATTTAAATATTATACAAGGATGCTAAATCTAAATTTAATCTTAATAAAATTTATTTAAACAAAAAGCTTTTACCAAGCTTTATAAAAAAAAAAAGTTTATACCTTTTTCTGTGATGGTTTTCATATGTTGTTGTAAAAGGGGATGTTAATATTCAAATTTAGATTATTAATTATTAAGAAATTCAATGTGTATAATAATTGTTTACAGATTCAAAATAAAATAAATACTTAAAAATATATTTATATTTCTTTCGTCTAAATCAACAATATTTAATAAAGGATATTATGAAATTTATAAATAAAATTTCAGCTGCTTAAACATTTATAGTTGTTGAGATATTTAGGTTTTTATCAGTACAACTATTTTCTTAACACTTTATATTATATGAAAGAAAGAAATAATATTTGTATAAATTTTTTATATTGCAAAAATTGGGGATTATAATAAAGTTAACTATAATTAATGACTTGTAATTAATTAAAAGTATTATTATTACTAACAAATTAACTAATAGTGTAAAAATAAAGGCTAGATTTTTCTCTTAGTAAATTGTGTATGTAGGATAATCCATATACGAATTTTAATAATAATAATAATAGTTCAAATATTCCATTATATTATTAATCTAGATAAGTAAGTTAAACAACGGTTGATAAAAAAAGCGGAAGACGGAACTGGTTAAACTGGTTTGTTAATAGAAAGAGATCAATAATAACCTAGTGCAAAAGTATCAGACTTGACCCACCTGGTGGCATCATCTTGACCCCTTATTGTAAAATATATTATGTGGGCCAAATTAACACCGCGTGGTTGGTTAAGAAACCCTAGCGGCCTAGCCTCTATCTGCAAGGGGGGATTTCTGAAAATTAATGTCTTAAAATACATTTATCGTAATTAAATTCTTAAAATATAATAATGGAATAAATTATTGCATAAATGTCCCATTAAACTTCTATTTTCAGTTTAATAGATGACCATTTATGTCATTAAAATGTGTCTAACTATACCTGACTGAGTTCTTATAACAAGTAACATTAGAATAACGATTTATTTAAAGAAAATATATTATTAAATACTCCTTTTTTAAAAAAAAACCATTACTAAGCCCTAATATGAGATAGGAATTTTGGAAATAATGTGAAAAATGTACAGCGGTAAATCTACAATCAAGAATAAAATAACGATAATGGGAATATAAATCACGTGTTTATTACATAATAGCAAAAAAATTTTCTAATTTCTAAATTGAAATTCATTCTGTAAAAAAGTACGAATAGGTTCACCCTATAGATAGCATTAATATGTAAAATTTTCTCATTTTAAATAAAAGTTTTTCTTATTTAAAATAATAACATGGGTAACATGTAACATGGGGTAAAATTTTTAATAATGAACGTATAAGTATGCATGCAGTTCATAACGATAATAATACTATATCTTTGGCGTACCAAATATTATTTTTCACATGAATTTTAAAAAATTGATATCTTCATCTAAGTTACTTTATTTTTCTTTCTTTCAAAGTACCAATGATCATTTTTATAAGACCAGAATTAGTTATTGAATGCACGAAAATCATCCCCCACAAAAATCATTGCCACGTATAGTCAATGGTCATTATGTTGTACAGTAATCATATGAACTTTAATGAAAAAAAAAAAAAAAATTATAAATTTTATAATCGAGTTTACTTGTTTTTCTTGGATAACAAGTATTAAGAATGAATCTTAATTCGGTAACTGAATCATCAAAATGGCTCGAGCAAAAAAAAAAAAACCCGGAGTAAATATGGAGATGATAAAAGAAAGAAGAGAAAGAAGAGAATGATTTACTTGATTAACAGAAACATTGTAAAGAAAGATAACTTCAACAATTGACAGATTACATTATAGAATATAAGAAACGGTTTTCTTTACTAATAATTACGTATTACCACTATATTTCACGTGAGATAATTTATTTTTTTTCATGTGTTATTTCTATATTCAACTGCATTGTTTATATTTTTCCATATATGCGTTAGGTTTTAACTTTAATTATAATTTTCCAAATATAGTTTAGTTAAATGCATTAATAGACACATTTTGTTGTATATGTTATTTAAAATTCGAATAAGAAAATTTTTTAATTTTTTTAATCTTTTATAAATATTTATATTTTAACATTTTACACAATGGATTATTTTGTATAATAAAATAAGTTACTTTTAGATCATAAGAGAAGAATATTATATATTGTTAAAATTTTAATAAAAATATATTGTTTTTTTTTAAACGAACAAAATAATTGTTTAAATTTAAATTGTTTGTTTTTTTTCTCCGTTACTCTTCCTTGGCTGTAATACACAAAAATATGCATTGAATGCAACCCCACAATTACTTAACTGGAAAAATTCCCACGATATGATGATCATTGTGTACATTAATATAAATAAATCGTAACCTTATCCAATTAATTTTTCCACGGTCATCTTTTTTACCACGCTACTAATTTTAGTTTTTAAGATTTTGTTTCAAGATAATCTAATATTTCTTATTTTCTTGTTCGTTTTTTTTTTTCAAGTCCGGTCAATTCCGATTAAATTTTGGGCGTCATTGAGTTTTTATCACAAAAAAAATTGGCTGAAAATAATAATACATTTTTTTTCGTTTGTGTAGATCGGCCAAAATATCTAAATGCATATATCTCATATTCTGATGCACATGATACATGCTTTTTGAAAAAAGAAAGTTTTTGATTTTTTTTCTTTTTACTTTTTTCTTTTTTCTTTTCTTTTCTTTTCTTTTTTTATTATTATTATTAATTTTTTTTGTTCCAAGTTTTTATTTCAAATATTTCTAAAATATTTATATATATATATTCATTTACATTTTTCCATTTTTTAACAAAAATTTTTGTGGGGGATCGATCCCTAAAGTTTATAATAACTCTAGGTCCAATTAGGAAGTACATTGTAAATTTAAAATTAGGAGAAGGTTACAGATTTTACATTCAAATTTCGGAGACAATTTTTATTAGAGATT